CAGAAACGACTACATAATCTGTGCCTGGCCTACAGTCAGAAGCAGAAAACAGCTGAGGAGTTTCTTCGCGGAGTGGGACATGCTATTCATTACAAGAATAATTAACATGCGATTGTTCCACTTTGCAAAAGCGCTTCAAGTGTCGCCTAGATTTCCTGTATTATTAAATTTGTTCCATTTCGGCAATGCCATAAATGAGATGCTTTTTTGCAGAATAAAAAATAAATAAAAACCAGGAAAATATTCAAGTGAGCATTTTTTCGTACTTTGCAGGTATGGACGTTTTTTCCATGGGCGTTTTTTCTTTGGGCATTATTTCCGTGTGCATTTCTTCAGTGGGCGTTTTTTCGTATATTCGTCAAATTCCATCCACATAGGATGTTTCCCTTGATGTGATTAGATGGTTACTGTTTTTTTTTTGGGAGACTTAAATAGGGAAGTATATTATACTTCTCTATTTAAGTATCTTCTGCATAACCTGGGTGTAGTTAAATCTCATTACCACAATGATAATGCTGCAATAATTATTTTATGACTTTGATTCTTTTAATATAAGGAGGAAGTCATGTACCTCCATTTAACATGGACTGTTGGACACAGGCAGAAGAACCAACCACTACTTATGTTGATGCATAAAACAAGCAGGTGCATTACACCAACATTTTGGCCAGGACTTTTACTTCCCCCCCCCCCCCCCCCCCCGGGCAAATTGTAGTGCAAATCATTGGTATTATAATTAATGACTCATGCAGGTCTCATTAACTGCTCTTCAGCCTGAAACCTATATTACTTAAATTTCATAGTGTTTGTGTGTGTGTGTGTGTCTGTCCCTTATGCACGGCTACTCCTATGATCCCCAGTCCAACTAAACTTTGCTTGGCTTCCTCATTTGCTCTGGTGATGGTCATAGGCTAGGTGGCGTTTCAAAATTCAGACCCCCTGTGGTACCTTACTTAGTGCAGATTTGGCCATTTCACTACTACAGACCCACCAAGGAGTCCAAATTTTGGGGGTCATTAAAAAATTTAAGTTGTAACTTGCAGCTTGCTACTTTGCAGCTTTGCAATTGGTTGTGTAGTAAAAGCTACATATTTTAAACAATATCTAGCCGGGTTTGCCAAAGAGGCAATGAAACAATATTAAACCCTGAAATATGGGACATATACAATATTCACACATGCAACACCAGGTACCTCAGCTAGTATATTATGAAAATGAACATTCCAAGCAATGAAAGACTTAATTATCAACCAGGATGACGATGCACCATATTGTGCAGACTGGAGGCTGCTGACTTGTCCCTTTTCATACACAGAATACATTGGTTTTAATTTATTCCCATGTTGCATGTCACAGACATGACACAAGGTTGATTTCAGTAATTGCTTCAACAAGAAAAAAATATTTGTTAAAGCAATTATTGAAAATATGGTGGACTCCAATAATAACAAAGCCAATAAAGCCGACATAATTTTTTTTTATAACATTGAATTTTCTTATATCAGGAGAGGGGGTCATAATATCCATTCAACAGATTGACCGCCAAGGGGTGCACCGATGCACCTCACTAAGTCCCTTTTCCTGTGCCATGGGGCGCACCGGTGCACCTCACTAAGTTCCTTTTCCTGTGCCATGAGGCACACCGGTGCGCCCTGTGCTTCACCTTCTCCAAGGGATGTAAAGATTTATCTTAGTCCAGGAAAGTCACCAGGCCAATATGGCTGTGGTAGTCAACGTGTTAAAAGACTCTGTTTTATGTTTACTATCTGTTTTATGACCCCATATACATGTCTTACTATCATTCCCTTCATGCTGAGGGAGCCCTTTCAAGAAGAGCTTTCGAGAAGAGCTTTCAAGGGTGCTCAAAGTAGCAGTAATCAGGTAGCAATTAAGGACAAATCAAAACATGAGAGTATAAAAATAACTTTGTATTCAGAACATGTCCTCATAACTGCAGTTAATCTCAAATGCACATTTACCAACTCAAAGTCACCTGCTTCAGAAAGTACCTATGTCCAGGATTTTATGAAGCATTTCTTCAGTTTTGTAGCATGCATAATATCAATGCAACTTGATTGTTTCCATAGCTACCTTCACATCCTTAATCCTTAATAGCTGGTTACTCTGCTTCTTCCATTTCCTCCTTGTTGGCAGCATCTTTTAGCTGCATGGCTTCCTATGCTTCTGAACACATAGTGGAATCAGGAAATGACTAGCACATGAGAATGTCCTCATTGGCATTTACAAATTGTATGAATTTGCATCCAACATGCAGATGAGAAGTGATTTATTTCCACGTCACCACTTTCCATTGGCAGAGCAACGTCAGTCTCCTCCTGCAATTCTCCATGGCAGAAGCCTACTTTATAAAATCAGCATGGTATGTACAGGGTGTCTCAAAAAAATGTAAACTGTAATAATGGGTTTTTCTGGAATTAAATTGAACTTGAAAAAATAATTTTTTCAGCCAGTTAAAAAGAGAAGAGATTAAGATTTCTTCTGCTGAAAATCACATGAAAATCTACCATTTCTGAATCAATATATGGTACAGAAAATATTAGAAAAAAAGAAATTTACACACCATCACAAAAGGACATGTTTTCAATGTGAGTTCAAGGTGTACAAGGTGAGATGGAGAGATGGGTCACCAAGAAAATTCTTTCATTCAATCAATTATGTGGCATTTTTGAGAACCAAGAACCCGGAATAGAGTGAAGAGTCTCCTGGCAGAACACTTACGGATTGCTAGCTTCTTCGAGTACTTACATTACTGGATTCTCTCACATAGGCTACTTGCAGCAGTTCACCAGCATATTTGAATTTTGCTCATGTAAAGTTTGTCTTTCTATATCTCACCTCTGAGTTCAATGATCTTCATGCAGTCTTCAGCAACTAAAAGTACAACCTCTACTCATTTTAACTGCCATAACATTTTTCATTCAAAGTTTTTATGGTACAAGAAAAATTAGTTCTTGCAGCATTGACTATTTTTTTTAGACACCCTGTATCCATAAAGAATACCCATGAAAAATTTAAAAAGATAGGCCATGCACTGGCATTTGAAAAGAGAGAGTTTTGCCCTGCTCTCATTCCATCCTGCAACAAGATGGTGCATGGCATCAAGTACATCCCATTTAAGCATTCCATGCTCATAGATGTGATCAATTCCTTTTATACAAAAGGGTCACAGGAGAAAATTAATGGGGCATTTTTGACACTTTCTCTTCAGGCATGCAATCACCCCTTGATCTAGGGGTTGCAATTGTTTGATGGAATAGGTTGGAAAGTACACAACTTCAATGTTTCTCAGCTTCATGATATCCAGTGGATGGGGAAGGCAATGGTTTTGTGAAGAGAAGATCTTCCATCCTTGCATCCCATTTTCGCGTCAAATCATTGGGGAAATTCCAGGAAAAGGGGAATACTCGTGCAAGCTTTCTTATTGGAATTGTAATTGGAAGGCAACTGTTGCACACCTCATAAGCAATGAGGCTTCTTGAACCTTCTGATGATAGTATACTTCAGTTCTTCCATTCCTGACATGTTCAAACAGAGCAGCATAGTAAGGCACTCTTTGCTTCTCTTACTGTCTATGAACTTTTCTTTAGTGATGACAAGGGGGCAAGGGGGTGATGACAGTGGAATATAACAACTTGTGGAAATCTTGCCCCTCTTTAGCTTTAGCTTCTCTCCCTCAACTCCATGCAAGATGTCAAATTTCATTTCAATAGACAAGTACTTTTTCCTCTTTGTAATATGTGCCATTGCACTGCTGCTGGCATGTGAACACATGAACTGATACACCTTAGATTTTTAAAAATCAGTGAAAGGATGATGAAGAAACAAAAAAAAACACTAGATGCTGAATGACCTAGAAAGTCCTTGGCTCAATTTATAGTTTAAGTGATTGGGGATACCATGGGAGGTGTCTTTTTAATCTGATAAGCTGATCCCTATGGGACAGATAGGAGTGAAAACTGATAGCTGGGAGACAGGTAGGGGTGAAGCATTGAGATAAGAACTATGGCTCTTAGATCCCAGGAAACCAAAAATAAAAAAATAAAGGAACATTTTTTTGTTGTTGATCCCCCTCTTGCCACAAAGGAAAGTTCATTATATCTGGTGCCCCTTCTGAATGAGGGCACTAGGAATCTTGTCACAACCAAAATGTCACTATAATAGATTTGTTATATCCAATTTTTTTTATATGGGGTCAATGGACATTTGATTGGACAATGCCAAGGGTTTTGGTATAACTGGGATTTTGCTATATCCATGTTAGTTATGAGTTGACCATAATTCATTTCAGGAGAGATGTTTTGGAGCATCACCTCGGTGTTCCTGACAGCCCATTCACACTCCTGGATGTGTGAGGATCATGATTCATTGCTCCAGTTAATTAACTCTTCCTTTAGAAATAGAAATAAAAGTTGGCTTAAATTCAAACTTTGCAGTTTTTCCTAAGTACAGAATAAGCCCATTCACACTCCTGGATGTGTGAGGATCATGATTCATTGCTCCAGTTAATTAACTCTTCCTTTAGAAATAGAAATAAAAGTTGGCTTAAATTCAAACTTTGCAGTTTTTCCTAAGTACAGAATAAGAATTGGTACAGCCTACCTACAGTACATCTCCAGCTCTTCACTTTCAATGGATTCATCTTTCACAATGAACGGTATATAACTGTGTCTTTCAAATAGGCTCCTCTTTGGTGGCCACGTAGGAACTTTTACCACCTGATGCGATTCTGCATGTACTTTGATGAAGCAGTAAGTAGCTAGAACACTCCAGCAAAATACTCATCAGCAATGAAGAAACCAAAACTCACTCAAGGCATCATTCTTGGTAAAGGGCCCCTCCCTTGAGACATCATTCTTCACAAGGGATGGAAGATGTGTATTGGAGTCTCTGGATGACAATGCACTCAGTCTTAGAACTGCAAGGTAGCAACCTCATTCTTGAGATCCAGAGAATCCTGAAGATCAGAGTCTTGAGGTCACCTGCATTGCAGGATGTCCAAGAGCAGTCTTCCTTTGGAGCATGTGATTCCAGGGTTTCAGTCTGCTGGATAAGTTCCATGTCCAGTTCCAGGTCCATGGATGGAGTATTCACCTCCCCACCAGCTATGAAATCCATGAGGAACTTTAAAAGCTGGACCTTCAAAAATATGCCACAAGGTTATGATTACTGTAATGCTGCAACACACTCTCCAAATACCCTGTTCTAGAGAAGAGTACCAAATTTTGTGTATCTCCAATGATTGTGACTATGAAGGGCTAAAGGGAAAAGTGGTCTATCTGTAAGAAACAGTTTCCTAACCTTTAGAAGGAGAAAATTACAACCATGCTCTGTTAATTAAGAAGTAGTGCATGTATTGGATATTGTTTTTATTTGCAGAAATCCTTTTGCTTTCAATCCTATAGGTGGACATGCACATTAGACCAATTTTCTGCTTCTTTGAGGTACTTTAGCAGATGAAATTATTTTCCTTTTTTGCCTGTCAATAGTAGTGTATTTCCATGGGTTATCAAAGAGTTAGGTAGTTAAAAGAGATTTAAAGTTGTCCATTAGCACCTGATACCAAGCCTTTTTCTCTATTATATTATTATATTATTATATCCATATTGGTACTCTAAGAGCATTTCGGCCTCTGACTTACTTTTATTGCATCTAGCTGAGCTTCGTCAAAGGGGTATGTGAAGACATACGTGCCCAAGTGGCACTTTCAAAAAGAAACGCTGAGATTTTTCTGTTCATTTCCCAGGTTCCTGATTAAGCAGAGCAGAAGCACACCATATCAAGTATACATCTATCCTTACTCTTTGCTCCATTAGAAATAAGAATATATAGCAACTAGAGCACACCCAAAGCAGCTGTTTGACTAAGGCACCTCTAAATTTTTTAGATCACACCACTCCTTATCAAAATTAGTCCTCCTTTGGCGTGGCATACGGCACATAATCTTGCTTTCCATTAAATGATGGACTAGTGGATCTCCTCCATGGTAATCTTATTTCAGGTCTGTTGAATGCTAGCTCTCTGTTCAGTAATGGAGTAACCTATCATATCTTGGAACACTCAGCTTTTAGCACCAAGGTCAACTAAAAGTCATAACGAGCTTGTTTAGTGGCTCTTCTGAAGACATGAAAAATTTAGAGGTGTCTTAGTCGAACTGCTGCTGTGGGTGTACTCTGATAGTAAGAAATGCAGAGTTTTCACAGAGCTGAGAGGAAAGAGAGATGCATATGTAGTTCGATTTGTATGCCTTTGCCTCATCTGGAAAAATTGAGGAATAGATGCAAAAATCTCTGTGAGTTTTTTAAGTGCCACCTGGTATTATCCCCTGGGCAATTCTCCATTGGATTTCAAAGATGAGGGGATGACCTCGCTTCCATGCCTTCTCTCATTGGAAGCCTGAACAAAGAAAATCCATCAGGATTTGATAGATGTTCATCGCCATGTTCCTTTGATATGTTTGTCAGGTGGATAAGAAATGCACATGGCTGGGAATGAAATTGAGGATGTGGCTCAATCCATACATCCAAGGACTTCTGTGAACAGTTACAAAGACCATTGTTATGCCAAAATTTATTAGGATTCTAGTGTCAATGGCTCGAGATGTTTGAGCCTAATGCCCCAAAAAGACACTCAGATGTCAAAAGAGACACATTTGGACATCCTTCTTCACAGTGAAAAATAGGCAGTCGAACATGATCTGGCATTCAGAAGATGAGTCTCGACCTCAAGTTTCGAAACCTAGCTTTCAAAGTCAGATGATGTTCACCATCAGTTCTCAAGACGCAAACATGACAGACAGAGGCTGCTTCACCATGACTATGCTGACCCCCACAAGCAAAAGCCAAGGATGTTTGACATAGACAGCAGGGCGTGTTCTCTCTTCTTCACCACCCTCCCAACTCTCCTGGCTTGGCTATATGCGACTTCTGGATCTTTCCTCAGCTTAAGCCCAGAATTGCTGATTACTGTTTTCAAGGATAGATTAACTAGCAAAGGTTGTATGAGCAGAGCTGTCCAATATTCCTGCATTGGATTGCCATCATGCCTTGGAAGAATATTGCTACTTTTTCCTGCTTTCACTAAGCAAAAGCAAATTCTACAGAGCAGCAACAAGATCCATCATGCCAGATGGCCCAAAAAAAAAATGTTCCACACTTCGTGCGGATGCAGACATTGCAAAGGATTGTCTTGAAAATTTCAGTGTGTCATACCCAAAATAGGAAGGTGGCTTTAGGAAAATTTCAATGAAATTCCTTGCTTGGAACACAAGTAAGAGCTTTTTTCGTACAAGTCATCAAATGAGAAAATCAGTGTGTTTGATGGCAGGCTGCTTCGGCACATGATCTAAGGACACATCCATGGAGGACCCATCAAGCAGTTCTTTCATTGAGTTCAAGCATGTTCCTTTGCATACTCGCTCTTTTCACATCACGTGGGAGAAAAATTGTTACTCGTGTAGTTTACAACAAATTTCAACAATATTTTTGCTACATTACCTGCAAACATTGCATGTAAAAGCCTATAAATTTCCTGTCAATAACTCATATGGTACACCATCTGCAGGCGTGGAAAGTTCAAAACATTTTTCTGGGCCACTTGGTATATGGCTTTAAGGGCCATAATTAGAGCAAAAGAAGTCTCGACTCACTTTCCTGCCGATTCCATCATTTCTATAATTCGTCACTTTCGCTAATTTAATGAATAAATTATAATTGTCACCATCGTGCAGAAGCTGCTAGTGTGAAGTTTTACAGTTCACTTCTTGAACCACAATTCACATAATTATACAGGTATTTTGCGAGCCTTATTATCACATATCTCATAATTTCACTATCATCGCATTTGATATAATATCTTAGGCACTCACTTCATTACTTTAAACAGGCTTTCACATCAATATAGCATGTCATGCAATTTGGCAATACATTTCACACAACCACCTTGACAGAAAATTTTTCGTTGTAGGATGAAAAAATGTTCTCATTGGTGGCACAGCTAATTACAGGATGTAATGGACTGATTGTAATGATGTAATGTAATGGACTGATTTTGTTACTGATTAATAAGGAATTATTTGCCTGCAAGGAATTGTCTGAGAAATCCTTATAAGTATTTGGAATTCATTTGCAATATTTGCTTTATCATCAAAATGATTTAATTTAAGGAGTTATACCTGTACTAGTATATGGATCAGAAGTGACTACCTTGTGAAGTGAGCAAGATTTATCATTACGAACACCTGATGAGACTCAAAGGATATACCTTTAGAAAAACAGATTACACAGAAAGCTTTCATCATAATTTGGTGTGGGTTTCCTAAATTGCGAAGAGAAATTAGAATCTTTAGTCTTTTTATCACACATTATCCAATAAGCGTTGAAGGAAAAGCCATAGCAATAGCAATGCAGTACAAGGATACTATCCCGTGATGTTCCATAGCAAAATATACTTTTCATTCATCTTCAAACCATGAATAATATCCAAGTAATGATTACTTTAGTACCCCTGTCCAAAGGTGAAAAATGAGGTTGCAACAGTGCATTGATGACAAGGGGAAATACGTTTATGGAATGTGATCAAGCATTTTCCATTCTTTTTGGCTTCTTGAAAGCCTTGGAAGCAGAACTTTTTTTTATCATCCTGTGTAATGGCTTTCCAAGTCTGGCATTGCCAATAGTTCATGCACTACTTGTTTCATGTAGGTAACATGCATTTTTTGAGTTATTGACTGGATATAACCTGATTTTCCCAAAATGTGTTTAGGAAGATCTGAATATTTTGCAGCTTCCTGCCAAAATGCATTCTTAACAACCCTAGTATAACTGAGAGAAAGTATTTAGACTCTTGGATTTGAGAGAGAAGTGGAAGAAATTAAAGCCAAAGAAGTACAGTTTTCATATGAGCTTTTTGGTCATTCTATGTTTAATCCAGGTAAACTCATTACTTCAAGCCCAACTCAATGCATTCATGGAGTACAACAGAAAGACCACATTTCAATGTGAGCATGCCATCATTTATGCATTATAGCTGTGGGGAGGAGAAGATTTCCATGTACATAGACCACTTTGCCTTTCAGCCCTTCATATGTCTAAAAGCACCTCCCTGCTCCTGTGCTATTACCAGCCATCATCCAAATCTGCAAAAGCTCAGAAATGAAATTAAAAGTCCATTTAAAATGAATTTCATTCAATGAACAAAACAATATTTTTTTTTGCTGAGGATATTTGGGGAAGTTGACATGTCTCCCCAAACTCATTACAGTTTTCCTTTCAAAAGAAATGTTTTTCAATTATAATGTGAAACAAGCATCAGGGAAATGACACTTGAGAGAGAGCAGGAAACAATGCAAAAGTTGACAGAGGCAGAATGTGGAAAGTACAAGGAAAATAAACTGTAAATGCAGAGGCACAAAGAACAAAAAATGTTCTCCATTGTAGCTCAATCCCTTCATGCTCTACTCACTTTTCTCATATATGATTATGTACTTTTTCACTGCTCATCCTGTGCAGGCACATGCATGTTTACACTATGGACTCACACCCCACCATATTAATAATGTAGCCTCCCTCCTCTCTCATTCCAAGTCAGTCTAATCAAGATCTCAATTGCTACTGTTGATAAATAGGGTGGCAATAATGAATGCACTTCCTGGCAAGCAGAGATGAGGCAGACCACTAGAATGCACCATCCTACTTAGTTGCATTTCTTTTTCAAGTTTCAAATTTGACTGATTTTGCAACATGGGCAGTTAGAGGGAGTATATTTCAGATGAGTGTGCCACATTTCCTGTATCTGCAGCCTAAATATCCAGAGATATTTCATTGGTGTGGTGCACCTACTCTTTAACATCCAGATAAGATCATGCAAAAATATAAGAAACTGAAACATGAAAAAGAAACAAAACTGAATGGGCTATTCAAATAGGCTAGTCTAAAGGTAATACTGTGGTCAGTCACACCTGAGGCCATTGGAGGTGTATATATTTGTGGTACCATGTACCCATTAATCACTCTTTCATTTTACTTCAAAACGCATTCATCAGATAGAACACAAAGTCATGGGCACCCTTTGGTCTGATTTTCCCAAAATCAGGCCAATGGGTATTCTGGACAAAAATAAAAAACTCCAAATAAAGTCAA